CTGGAAAGAAGTCTGGCTGCTTCCAAATCGATATTTGATAAATAACAAAACTAAAGAAATCTCATTTAAAATAATCCATAACATTTATCCTACCAAAGTCTTTATCCAGAAACGCTTTTAAAAAAAAAACATTGATGTCACCGCTTCTGCTGTAATAATCCTGAAACACTTCTTCATCTATTCTGGTACTGTCCACTTATTCAGTCCTTCTTGTACGACATTTTTTATTTAATTAATAGAAAAATAGACAAAGATTTTCTTTTATTTTGGAAGACTATACTATTCGGCATTACGGGAAATTGCAAAGTTCAAACAAAGAGATCAGATAAGGTATATATAATTGACTTTATTATTATTATGGCCAAGTTCTTTATACATTAATGTAAATATAGAGGCTCCAAACCGACATTACTGCTTTTAAGCACGAACTTAAACAATATATTGACACCATACAATTATCAGAAAATAAGAAAGCAATCAAAACTCGAGAAGCCTTTGTCCTTTTCAATATTATTTAGAGTGCTGTTTCCCCCTAGCGTTAACTTTTGTTTAATAAATGTAAGATCTTAGTTTATTTTTATTTTTTCTTGTCTTTTTTCGTTATTGTTTCTTGTTTTGCACAAAACGAGGTCATTTACTTGACTGGTAAAAATGTGAACTTACACTTGTTGTAAATGTCTGTAAATAATGGTTGTTGTGAATTCCTATAGTGCAATATGTTTGCTCTGTATTGTTCTTTGCAGAAACAAATAAAGTTGTATGAAAAAAAAGGCTAGACCGTCCCATTTACCACCGGCAGCTGGTCCTGGAGGATCCTCCGGAGCAGCTTCCGAAGGCCGGGTCCTCCGGAGCCTAGGTTGGCTGGGTCCTCAGAAGTACGCTGCCTGCGAATTGAGAAGACGCAGCTGTTGTGTGGGAAATTGGAAGATACTGGGTGAGTGTAGGGTGGCTCTTGACCAAAACATAATAAAATGGACATTTGAAGTAATTGGTATTTTTGTAAATATATCTGTGGAATGTGTGAGACGTGGTCACCCTCGTGAAAGGCTTGTGAATGTTGAGGCGCTCGGTGAGTAGCAAGCGCTGGTAGCTGCCGTTAGCTTCCGTTAGCTTAGCCGCTAATTGGCATCCCCCACGTTTTGGCTGTGGGGGAACATGTACGGGGTCTCCCCCAAGAAACCCCACGGGCACGTCAGTTGCTCACACTGGCTCCGGTGCGGTTACCGAGCCGACGGAGACCGCAACTCCCGCACACCCCCTCTCACACCGCCCTTTTGACTACGGTGCGGTGCGGCTCTGCGGCTCCGGCAACAGGTCCGGAGATTTAACTCGCGAGAACAGAAGTTCACTTGAGTTCACGTAACTTCACGCGATAACACGGCCCAAATAAGGATATTTGCGAGAGCTTGTTGCGGAGGGCTCCGGCACGCTGCAAGGATAGCTTTCTTGCTGAATTTTCTGCAGCGCCGGAGTGTCTCGGTAACCGCAGCCGGACAGCTCAGCAGCCAGTGAGAGAGGTTTACGTCTTTTTAATGATTTGGAATCACTGCGGCGCCGCACCCACCGCACCGTAACGGTAAGACCGGAGTCGGTGTGAGCCGGGGGTTACTTTCTGCCTGGTAACAAATGACCCACCTGTTTACTGGAAATAGATGAGTAAATGCACAATTGGGAGATAAAAACAAGACAGTATTATTAAAGGTTATTTTTTGCACTTGAAGTAATACGCAGTGTTTATTTTTAGCCACAAGATGTCACCACTGCGCTTAAGTTGACTTGTTGCCCTGCTGTGTCACTGCAGTACATTGATATTTGGGCATACAACCTATTTTTGTGATAACCTAAAGCTTTATTTTGCTAAAACCAAAATATTGCACTTAATACATGATTAATATACAAATGTACATGATTCTAATTTTCTTAAAATATTTTACATAACACTAATACATGATACTCAATGCAACTTAAAGGTACATTGCGTGAAAATGATTTACCATGGTTTATAGGCATTTCATGATTATTATTGATGTTTATTGATTAAGATGTGAACTTTTGAATTACAAATGTTAATGGGATTTAAATTCAATTCCATAAATGCATTGTAATGTTTTATTTGAAGTTGAATGTAAATATTAATGTTGTAGTGTTATTTTTGTTAAACACATTAATTAATATATGGCCATATTCATTTATATAGAGTAAGAAATGAGATAGTAATAGTCCTGTTCTTTATACAGGCTAGGTTTTTTCCTTTTATTGGAGCCTGGAACTGGAGCTTACCATCGTTGGATCTGGATTCTCTCCCTGATGAGGAAGATGGCGAGCCTTCCCAGTTGAACTGAACCAACCCTTGGCTTTGGGGAACAGGAAGTTCTCTACCACAAACTGTTAAAATTGTGCGGTAGGACGGTACCATTACTACACCTCAACACTTTTGGAATTGACTTGACTAAACTGACATATGCCGGCAGGACTTACATAAAATCTGAGCTCAGACAGGGAAATTAACAAATTATTTTGAATGTATTGTTTGTTTATTTTTGTGCACAGTGTTCAATACATTTAATCAAAGTAACCTGTGGCTCCACTCATTCTTCTACCTTCTGCTTTAACTAATTACCCTCCTTACGAACCTAGATATTGGCCCAATTTGTATAACTTAGGACTGGAGTTTAACCACCAGTTTCTGAAGCAGCTGGTTTAGCTAGAGCTTAATAAAACTGTCGGCTAGATGGTTCCTCTAAAAGGGTGTTTTTCTTCTCCACTGTTGCAGAGTCAGTAATAAAACAATAAAACAGACTTCTTTAGATAATATAATCGCTGGTTGGGAAACTATTTTACTGACACGTGACAAGAATTGGTGCATAAAAGAGATAAAGTAAAACTGAAACAAAACAGCTCTGCTTTTTTGCCATAGTCATGTGATTTCACTGCTACAGTCTGACCTTCGCCAGAAACCTTTCTTAACATAAGGGAATGAACAAGCTGGAAGAATCATCTCTGTTGTTCAAATGCTGTAAGTTTTGTTTTTCATAGACATGATTGAAAAACGTAATTTATGATTCTTCATGATGAATAAATGTACAAAGTAAAATAAGACAGTAATAAAAAGAATTGAAAGGCTTATTAAGAGATTACTAGGGATGCACGATATTGGGATTTTGGCCGATATCCGATATGCCGATATTTTAAAACTCGTGTAGCCGATAACCGATATCGATACCGATGTTAAAGCTGGACAAAAATAAGTAGTCATTGAAAATAGCAGTTTTGTTATCCATTTCTGACACTTTGAAAAATAATATACTCAAATATATTTTCATATGCTGATATCAAATAGATTTTTAAAAACGCGGTATCGATCTATTTTACTTTGAAAATCTTGTGAAATTTCATCATTCTGTTACAAACTCTCGTGATATTTTGCAAATTCTTGTGAGATTTTGTTAGTAAAATAGATCGATACCGCGTCAATATATCAACATATAAAAATATGGCAAAATTTTGTGAATTTTCGGGGGATTTCGTAGCATAACGATGACATATAGCAATATTTCATTAGTAAAATACATTGATATGGTAATATTTTTTCCCTCGTCTTTAGAAGTTTTTAAGTGTAAAAAAGAAGTTTTTGAGGAAGAAGTAGTATTTTTTTTTTTAGACTTTAGAAACTCAGAAGCTGATCAAATATCGGGTTAAATATCGGTGGGGTGGCCGATGTCCGATATTCAGTTTTAAGGCCGATACAGGCCGATACCGATAGGGGGCCGATTATATCGTGCATCCTTAGAGATTACCTTTTCATTTGTTGTGCAAAACTGCTAACAAATGATGCAGTTATCTGAGTTGGGATTTGGTTGTACTTTTTTAAATGCACTCATGTTTTAATTTATTTCCACTTAGTCATCAATAATTTTAGCAGATTTTCTTTCAGTTTTGTTTGTTTAATTTTGTATTTAGTTCATTTTAATTTCACTTCAGAAAAATTATATGATCGTGTTGATGTTTCCATTAACCTATTTTTCTCTGCATTTTAAATATTGCTTTAGTAGAGCTTGATGAATAGGAGTGTTTTTCAAAAAAGCGTACAGGAAATAGAAGTATTTTTTCCACCATGGACTGTTCTCCCTGCTGCCCTCAGGGAAAAGACTTCGAAGCATTGGATGCAGGTCCAGCAGATTCTACAACAGTTTCTTCCCCACAGTCATTAGACTGCAGAATGTTTTGTAGAATGGGTTATTGTATTGTATATTATTATTATATTTATAATATTTTATCAATGTATATATTAAAAAAATTTAAATTTACTATCATTTTTACTATTTTTCAAGGCTGCGTTTTTAAAAAGATGAAATTGTCCAGTGAGCTGTTTCCAAACGAAATTTCTTTTTGTTTTACACTTGTGTAAACAAAATGACAAATAAAATCTGTCTAAAGTCTAAAATAACTTCTGACATAGTAAATATTTACCTCATAGGACTGATAAGCTGTGTCTGCCGCCACTGGCATCCTGAATGCAGCACAAAAATCACATTTCTCTATCAATGTGTATGGATAAACATGATAAAGTATGTAAAACTGTTATGGGAAAAGGGTATTCACATGTAATTGGAAATTAATATTTACTGACCGCTATGACGCAATCATTACAACTTCACTCCATGACTCTGATTTTTGACTCAGCTGTTAAAGCCAGGTGTAACGTCAACTAATGGCGTTAGCTTTTTCATTACCTCATTAATTAGTTCTAATGGATGGAAATATGTCTATTTTGTATTATTAATTGTTTTTCGTAATTTTATCGGTTCACTTAGAATTGCCATCACAATTAGATGGAACAATGGCTAATTCTTTCTGTAAAAGGAAAATAAAATGGTATTATTTTAGTGTTCAGGTGCAGGAGCAGTGGGGTTTTTTGTGGCTTTGTTTTGTTTTACTGCACGCTGCCCTCACGGTTTGAGTCAAAACCATATCTTCTCATGTTTTTATTTTGTCTCAAGAGCAGTCTAAGCCATGGATGGGGAATCCTGCAGAGCTGTGGAAGTGGCGGCACTTGGCCGACCATTTGGGCTTGGAATGCTATATGACTGCCGCACTGATTTGCTGGTCCCTGGTAAGAATTCAGAGCTTTCTACGCTGCAAATTTTTCAAAGTAAAAAAACAAAATGCATTTATTTAGAATATTACTGATGGCACATGGAGATTATCAAGAATTCTTTTCTCCTAATAAGATTAAGTGAAGCAGAAACCAATGCAATGAGTGTGATACAAAATATAAGTTGTTTCGCCAACACAAAACTCATTTAATGTAAAAATAGATTGTGTGCAGGTTTTACAGCATTTGAATTTTTCTGTTCATATTGCTGTTATAATTTATTTGTATAGATTTATACAAATATAAAGGCATAGTCTTCAAAGTATCAGATCTCTGGTGTACTTGACTGTTGCTTTCTTCTCATCTTCAGGAATCACCCTTTGGGACCAAAATGACATAATGGAAAATACAAATGAGAGGCCATGGAGCTACAATAAATTTGAAATAATTGCATCTGAATCAGATGAAAAAAAATTCTCAGTTTTAGATGTTAGTGGTTAACTGCAGTTAAGCTTTTCGAGTGGAATGGTTGAAGTTGGAGGATCTGGAAATTATCTGAAGGATAACAAGACTTCCAAAAATCAGGCCAGAGTAACACTGACATATCTGGCCAACACAAAAGTCCAAGAGCTCTCTATAAAACATCTTAATGAAGTTTTAAATCATTCTGAAGTGTTTGAACAAGGCGTAGCAACACATGTAGTGACAGCCATCCTCTTTGGAGCCCAAGCCTTCTTTGTGTTTGACCGTGAGGTATCCGAAGATGAAAATATAGAAGACATCAAGGGTGACTTCCAATTATCCATCAAGAGTAAAGACAAAATCTCTGTAAATGGGGAGGCTTCTGTGAGGAAAAATGATACAGACAGAAAATTGGAAAATAAATTTTCCTGTACATTTTATGGAGACTTTATGCTCCAGAAAACTCCCTTGACCTTTCAGGAGGCCATGCAGTTGTATCAGAATCTACCAGAACTACTGGGGCCCAACGGAGAGCATGCTGTTCCGTTAAAGGTCTGGATGATGCCTCTGTCTATTTTACATCCTTCAGCTGCTAAACTGGCCCGTCAAGTGAGTGCTGCATTAGTACAAGAAGCACAAAGGGTCCTTGAAGACTTCAATCAGCTGGAAGTGAGGTGTAATGATGCCATCAAAGCCACAGCTGAGAAGTTCCCACAGAATAGTCAAATCCTGAAGCACTTTAAAGACATGTGCTCTGATCTAAAACTAGAGCTCCAACAAGATCTAGCAAAGATGCTTCCTTTGATCCGAGGAGGAGCAGAAGAGGAGGCAGTGTTGGCAGATATCCTGAAAAAGAGACATTCTTCTCCTTTCAGCAACAAAAGGCTGAACCAGTGGATGGAGTTTAAAGAGAAAGAGAGCTGTTTCCTGAAAGCTTTGATCAGCATGATGAAGAACGCAAAGATCCTGCCATTTCCAAACCAACTGTATGAAGAAAGTCTGAGTGCAGAGCATGTTTTCTGTTTTGTCTTTACCTCCGTTGGTGATGATGAACCATTCCTCTCAGCTTTCGAAAAACACATAAAAGGAACCAAAACTGATGGTGCTTACCCAGAAAAGGACCATTGGTTAACAACGGAAATAGAAGATAAGATGAAGAGAAATGCTAAATACTTCAGGGATTTTGCAGAGCGCAGAAAGGAGGAAAAAAATGTGAAGTTTGTGGCGGTGGCTTTAAAAGATGATGAGTACAGCAAGGAAGGTTCAACCATCTACCATTATAGAAATGGCATCTGTGAGAATAAGTGCTATTGGGAAGACTCGGATCAGTAAGAACCCTTCAACCAGTCTGTCGTAAACCTTTGTCCCAAAGTCCACATCTGCTTGCTAGTCTCAGCCAGTCTCCTTCATGCCCATCTCATCCCCATCACAGCAGATTTCAGCACTCTATGGATGGTTTGTCCAAAGAAACATTAAGTCTTCTTACTTTGGCCCGTGCCTACCCTATAGTTTTATTTCTCCTGTCTTTTACACAACATTTTTAAATTACTTTTGAAGTCCTGCAAATTATGTTTATAACAAAGCCTAAATATTTTTTCTCTCTTCATAATCACTAAATGATGTTGAAATACAGTTTTCTTTCTGCTTTAACAATTGATATTTTTTAGATTTTCTTTTTACGCCTGTTTATGTGGAGCTTTTGAAAGATGTTCAATATTTATCTGATTAAACGTAAGGATTATTTTAACACCAAAAATAAATCTCAGTGTTATTGAGATTTTGGTTTCTGTTAATGTTTTTTGCAGAAGTATATTCAGAGTATCTAACACTAAATACTTTTAAACTTTTATAAAACAGCTTATTAGCTGGACTGTGGTTGGTTAAATAAGTCTTTTTCAGAGATACAAAGCAGGACATCCTTTGATTCATCGAGAAGAGTGCGAGAATAACAGCCCCTTTCATTCAACTCTGATTTACTTTTTGACATTGTACTATTGACGGTACAATTGTAAAAGTGCCTTGAGATGACGTGTTGTGAATTGGCGCTATATAAATAAACTGAAATGAATTTATAGTAATCTCACTACTTCAGGAACTGAATTGTATTACTTCAGCTGAATACTTGGCTTTATTGTTAATAGATGTGCACTATGCTATAGTTTTTACTAAACCTCAATAGTGCAAAAATGATCAGAAATAAGCAAATGATTCATCCTTTAACCTGTGGACCTGTGACCTAAAACAATAATCTTTAAAATAATTTTATACACATCTTTCTTTTAATTTATTTCATTTTTACAAATTACCATTTTAACTGCATAAACCCACACTAATAAAGAACTAACCATTAAGTTTATTTGCTCAGTTTTTTCACATGGATGGAGCGGCAGCTTCATGCTGCTGAAGCTCCTCAAACTTGATGACGCGACCCAGGTTGTAAACACAATGCAAATGAAATGCAGAGCGGGGCTCGTTGGGATTTTACTGTGGGCACTGCGCTCAGTCTGAATGCACGATAACAGGAGTACAAGGCCTTGTTACATTACACTTTGTGTTAAGCTTCTCAGCAAATTCTAAAAATCTGGGTGTTTCAATACTAGTGAAGAAATTTAAGTGCATCAGAATCGCAGCTCAAACTGCAGGTTTTTCTGTTTACAGTTTTATTCAAAGACAGGGAAATAAAGTTTATATTTAGGCCTAGTTTAGAATTGACTCTGAACACAGAGATGCAAACATTACAGACATGCATATCTACACCTACCATGGTCATTCACTGATTCATTTCTAAGATATTTATTCACACAGCGCATCTGAACATCTAGGGTCTAGATTAAAGCTTAGATTAGGTGAGTTGAAAAGAAAAAAGAATTAGGTACGTTTATTTTAAAGATAAACTATAGTAGTTGTCTTGCTTTGGTCGTGCTTCTGTGGCGCAGTGATTAGCGTGCATGACCCATGTACTAAGGCCTTAGTCCTTGACATGGCCGACCCGGGTGCGAATCCGACCTGTTGTCCTTTGTTGCATGTTTCTCCCCCTCTTATAGCCCCTCTCCTGTCAGCCCACTTTACAAAACACGAGCCACTAGTGGTGTAAAAACCTTTTAAAAAGTTGTCTTGGGTTGTAGTGAAATGTGTGTGACTGAGTAAAGTGAGGAAGGAAAAGCCAGGACCATAGATAAACTGCTGCATTATTTAGTTATTAATGGCTCTACTTTAATAACTCAGCTGCAAGGCATGCCTGCCAACTAGTCAACCAAACAGATGTATTGCTGAGATTCCAGGAAATATTATAATCCGAGGCATAGTGATGGGACCTCACCATCACATAGGTGTTATGCATCAGAATGGATGTTTGTAATATTGCAATTTGACAGGTCAGACATTTGGGGTTTTTATTACATATTTATATTATTACCAATACTATTTTTATGGAGTTCAGCCATAATATTAATAACACTGGTGAGACGATAGCTGCCATCGTTGCTAAGATGCTGAAGGGAGAGCAAGCAACAATTTTTTTTAAATATGCAGGAATCAGCAAGAACAGCAGAGGAAAAAGGTGAGCCGAATGACCGAGGTTAAAGGAGCTGATGAAGAATTAAAAAAATTATTTTAGTCCTGATGGACATACGCTAGGTTGTGACAAGGTAACATACTTTATTCATCTCCCATGTGAGTCCTGGAAGAGAGGACTATGCAAAAATGTAACAGAGACAAACCGTAATCCAAACAGGGTCATTAGTAATAAATACAACACTAGCACAAAAATAAAAAAGAATCTAAACAGTTTAAACAACCTCTATCGTCATCATCATCATTTGAGGGTGCTGATTCTCTGTTAAGGCTCAGCTGTTGTCCATCCGTCCATTTTCAGACACTCTTAATCCCAAGTGGGGTCATGAGGGGGTGCTGGTTCCTATCTCTAGATGTCTATGGGCGAGAGGCGGGGTTCACCCTGGACAGGTCGCCAGTCCATAGCAGCAGCTATTGTCCATTCATCAGGTTAATGGAGCTGCATATATGAATATATGGGGCAATACTACTTGTACTTATAAACGATAAAGATACATAGATTACATGTTACAAATTTTTTTTTTTTTTACTTTTTTTGTTTTGCTACTGAATACTCATTTTATATCTGATTATTTTAATGCAGAGTTTGTCAACATGTTATTTTAGAGCTTCTTAAAAAATAAGGTGACCAGATTTGTGAAATCCGATATGGGGACATTTCTGGCCCATCGTCCTGTAACTGGTCGAACGAGGTGTTACTCAAGCCAGGACTTCCTGTTCTATCCGATGGTACCATAGAATGAATTGCTGTTAGCATCTTGTAGCGGGGATTTTGAGTAAAAATAGGAACATTTTACCGGATTATCTTTTTTTCTGGCTGCTTTGAGCAGAAAGACACCAAGCTTGGAGGCAAATGTTGGAGTTTTCTCCATGGGACAGCTAAACGGTAAGATAATTTACTTTTTGAGTTTTATGTATTTCTCAGGTTTATTTCGATAAAACGGCCGCAACGTTTGTCAAGGCTGAGCATGCTTGGTATCATTGAAAAGAGTAGAAAAAAAAAAAAAAGAGAACATGAGCTTTATGTAGATATGCGGACATGCTATGTTAACACTGAAACACTCATGTACATGCATTGAAAGTTCAAAGCCCACCCCCTACGTAGGGCCTTTAAGAAAATAATAAAAAACTAAAACTCAGTCTCTGGGTGTGTCTGGCTGGTTACTGATGTCATTTTCTTTCCAGCTCTCTTCTGACTTATGCCTGGTCTGCTTTGCTCTTCTAAGTAGATTTTTCTATCTTCTCTTCAACTGTTCTTTCCATCAGTTTTTATATTTTCCTCCACTCTCATTCAGTTTTCTGTCTATCAGTCTTCCCATCTTCTTCCTCTCTCCCCTTCCAATTTAGTGATGTGAGATGAAGCGTCATGAGGCAATGAACCATTTGAAATTGCTTCAACAATCCCTACATTTCATAAAGCTTTATCTGAACATGTTACCAACTACTGGTGGACTGTATAACTAGAGTTAATATAATCTGGGATTTTTTGCTGTTGTTTTTATTTATTTTTTTGTCCCACTATTTGAAATAGTTCATGATTGGTGTGGATAATAAAGTTTTTTGTAAGGTTTTTTGTGCGTAAATGTCTTAGAAGAGAACAATCGTTTAAGGTACACTGTTTTTTCTGTAATTTCTATGAAATAAAAAAGTGAAAGTCCTTGTGCAAATTAAGCAATGATGAGCAAAATGAAAGGTGTTAGTCATTTTTATTCAAAAATACTTTTTGTTTTTAATCTCGTTGGAGGTTATTTGTCCAACCAATCTTTTGGCTGAACCAACCAATCTAATTTGGTTGTTTTTTTATACCAATCTATATCGGTAATAAGCGCAACCCAATAGAAATTCGTCAAATTTGTCAAAATACTGAATAAGTAGTATAGCAACCTTTAAAAGCTTAAACCAGGTTTTGATCCAACAAAATTTGGATTGGGAGGCACAGTCGGACAGCAGATGCCAATTGCAATAGTTAGAAATATTGAACTGACTGCAACTCTCCTGTGTAAATGGCTGTCAAAGTTTGTGGGCAATCTGACCCACTTCCCGAAGTGGTCACATGGTATGGCCTGGAAGTATATGCAAGATACTAAACAGACACTGTGTGATGGTTTTTGGTTAGTACCATTTATTTGGTTTTTTTCTTTAATGCCAAATGACATCATAACTATATACAAACATAGAAAAGATTATACAAAAAAGGGGAAAAAAAAGAAAGCAAATGCCCATTCAAATAAATGCACAACAATTCAACTAGTACATTTAAATAGTTAATAAATAACAATTTCTGTATTGTTCAATTTTATTCCATCCTAAATGCAATAAAGCAACTAAGGTCCAGAAAAGTCCCTCTGAGTATTTTTTTCCACCCATACACAGTTCATGAATGCAATGCTGGGTTTGATGTATATAGACTTTTGCACATATTGTAATCCAGGAAGGATTACAATATGTGCAAAAGTTTGTGTGTGGGGATGGATTAATGTGTGGCGCAATGAGTTCAGAAAAGAGAAATAAGTGGAGAGAGTGTTTGTGGGCTGCAATAACCCCCCTACTGTCCTGGCAAGGAAAGCAGTAGTGGTTGTCTTGACTCTTCACACTAATAGTGCAATTATCTTTGTAAGCTTGAGGCCTGTGTAATACAGAGCCAATGTTTCGATTATACGATTCCATACAAAAGAACATCAAGTACTAAATTTAATACATTTCACAAATAGATCTGTATAAATCTAGTGTGCACACAAATTCCAATAAATACGTATGTC